ATGCAGCTCTGCCCCACAGTGTTCCAGGTGTCTATGCATGATCTCTTACGCTCAGTGACGCCCTGCTCCTGCTGACCCCCCGGTACCCAGTTCTGGGCACATTTGCTGCACTGTTGGTTGAAATGGGATTTTACACATGTGCAAGTATTTGCAGGACAGCAGCTCTAGATCACAGACATCTTGTTGAATTCATTTTGAAGTGCTTCACAAGTTGGCAATATGGGACTGCCAAGAGCACACTCAAATTCTGGATTTCATGACATGCTACCAATATCCTTATGAGGCAGGTTTCAATCTCAAAACCAAAAAGATAGAAGCAAGAACATGACCTGCAGACTCTTTCTMTCATTTACTATGGTTTGCTTATTATTTTGTTCTTTGAAGAAAAAAAAAAGTAAATTAATAGTCAATAAAAATGCATCTAAACATTGTAAGAGCTCTCTTTCCTGAATTGTTCTGCTTTCTGTCTTGAAAAACAATCTGAAGTCCAATCATATGATATGATATATAGAAAAAAAAAAAGATTAAAATCTTCATTAAAGATGCAATTTATAAAGTACTATTCCTATCCAGGACAGATTATTATAATAGGTCTGTGCATRGTCACATATTTAATATCAGCCTCCCCCACACTAAAAGCATATTCAARTTTGTACATGTATTCAATATTAGCAATATTAAGTGATTACGATAATAGCGGGATTGTGTCTATGAATGTAAACTGATAGGTGAGTTATGAGAGAAAACCTGTTCATTCTCCTTTTATCATTCTCCTATTCATTATTTTTCTTTCCTGCCTCTCCTACTCTTAGTCACTTTTTTCAGGCCCCCCTTTGCCTTTATTCTCGTTTGAATGGGAGACACTAAAGGGCTCAGAAGCAGCTCGGGCAGCCGCCGGGGAAGAAGCCCCCGGCTCTGGAGGTTGAGTGAGCGCCAGCGATGGCACCGCGGGCCCAACACAACCTCAGCCTGGGTGATGTGGGTCCGTGGAGGCAGCTCAGAGAGGAAAAGCGCTGCCCTCCCTAGGCACAAGGTATTGGGGTGGCATGGAGACCTGAAGCATCTTTTCTTCTGTGCTGCAGCTTCCCCTAGCTCCTGATAAACCTGGTGCTCGGCAGAAACAGATTAGCCCTTGTTCGAGGCCAGACACTRCCGACTAGGACAGGAGTGCTTTGAGTTCTGGAGAAGTACACATTGGTGCTCACTTTTTAATGGGCATCTCTGCATCCTAATTTGGGAAGAGGAAACACTGGCTCAGTACGTACCTTTGTGWAGTTGCCAACCACTGCTGTGGGAAAACACAGGAGTTAAACAACGAGAAAACTATCATTTTTTCAGGCAGTTTCTCCACAGTTTCTTTAAAGCGACTTCTAAGCTGTGTCGGAGGACTGGCACATGCAAGGAAGAATGTAAAGATATGCATTTGCCATCCACCTCCCGACAGATCCTCGTTGCTGATGGTCTTAAAGGAAGGATGAGTCCTGCCTTGAGAGAGTGGGTGAGGAGGGTGTCCTCATGTCCGCAGCATGTCAAGGATGCTGGGACACCCTGGCAGCCCCGGGCTGCTGCCTATGGAATGGGAAGCCGTGACCTCACAGGGGCCCGGCCAGCAACTCTGAGAGCTGGACTGGGGCCCGTGACCTCACAGGGGCTGCAGCCAGGGAGGCTCTTTGGGCTTAAGAAACCTGCAGATTACCTCGGGACATTTTCCCCATTCTGTCCCCCAAACTTTTCCCCCCAGTCCCAGGAATAAGAGAATCTCTGGGATTACTGTAGGAAAATCTCTATACTCCTTTCAACTACCTCTCGAGTGACAGAAGTACATTCATGTCAAGTGAGATGTGACAGATTATCGTAATATGGACACAGGTTGTGTCCTGTGCTTGACATTTTGTGTGATTTAACTTCTGCCCAGCAGTCAGCAGAGATTGACAGGAAAAACCTGTCAGAGTGGCTGCTCTATCACCCCCCCCACACACCATGGGTTAATGTGGTTGTGTCTGGGGATCCCACTGAGAAAGATACTTTGTGCAGTGAGAGCAGCTACCATTAACTGTCCCTCAGGTTCTGCAATGCCCATCACCAGTTTGTTGCAGGAGCTTCCATGCGGGGCTGCAGGAAAAGGCAAGAATAGCTTCTGTGCTCTCTGCTGGTAGGAGACCATTYCTTGTACTCTTTTTGTACGACCCACATTACCTAGTGAATATCATTAGGCCACTTTTTTGATCCAGTATCTCCTGAAGTGGGAGGTGAAACATGAGTCCAATAAGGAATGACTGTTCATGAATGTTCACAACAGAGCAGGGTTGACTTCATGCCGAACTCAAAACTCATGAAACATCCCACTAGACATACCCTGATGACTAACCCCATCTCCTGTGAATGTCTGGGATTAATGGGGGTTCCTTAGCGCTCTGCTTTCATTCCCCCCAACAAAAACTTCTCATGTGACCCACARTCCTGCCTTGTGCCAGGAAAGGGCAATATTTTTAGGATGCCCAAACAAGAAGTGTGGGGAGTGCCCTCTATGGAGTTGGAAATTCCTACTGACCATGGCTATAAGGCTGCAGATTATTTCCAGCACTGGCAATACTGGTGGTGAGTTTGTAAAGAGCTGCCTGGATCAGAGCTCCCCCAAAGCTTCACATTATGATTTCATTCTACAGAATTTACATTCTTCTTCTTCCTAAGGCTGGGAAATATTTATTGAATTGCTGACGATGTTATTAAACATAATTTTCAGGCATTTCCTCCTACTATGTGAGTTTACAAGGAAGAAACTCAGATTTAAATGTGCCTATTTGTTGCTCAAAAGGACCATCTCCCTGCAGCACCTATTACACAGTAGAGGAAAAAATAAAACTCATAAAGGCTCAGATTTTTATTGTTTTTTTTTTTTTCTTCCTAAGGCAGCCACGCCATCATTAGTTCATGGATTTAAGCTGTAACCTCACATGCAACAGACCAAACATGAACCAGCCCTGGCTCACTCCACACACCTGTGACCTCTCTTGACTTTCCAATTTTTCTAAACCTCCCCTGCCTGCCTCTCCCCTTCCCGCCCCCCATACTTCCTGCCTCCCCCATGTTTTCTTCCAACTAACTCCTTGTCGCGATACGACACACGACACGAGGTCTCCCTGCCCTCTCTAGCTTTCCTGGCCCCAAGGGCACAGGGACAGAAAAATCAGCCCCACCACATCCCAGCCCTGAGGCCCTAAGGTAACGGCCGCCCCCTAGGGTAACGGCCACTCGGGTCACGTGGCTCTGACCCCGCCCCCTCCGCCGCGCGGCCCCTCGCGGCTCCACCCACCAGAACCATAGAGGAACCTCCATTGGGGGGGAGGGGGTGGAACCATAGAGTCGGGAAGGGCGCGCTAGGCCGCTGCTTCCGGCCCGCTGCTCGGAGCCGTGCGGCAGTGGCGCTTTACGGCAGCGCGCCACTCGGTCCCGTTCAAGATGGCGGCGCGGCGGCGGCAACGAGGAGCGCGGCCCGTGTAGAGGCCGCGGCGGCGGGAGGGGCCCGGCCCGGCCCGGCCCGGCCTGGCCCGTGGTGAGAGCGGCGCGGGGGAAGGCACGCCCGTTACCGACCTCTCTTACACCCGTTCCCTTCTCCCCTGCCCCCATCCCCGGGCCCTGTTGGGGGAGGGGAGCGGAGACTCCCGTCTCCCTCATGGGGCACTTTCCGTCCCCGCTCCCTCCCATCAATATTAGAAATCTGGGAAGTGCAGCGTGCGCGTGCAACTCGCGGGCCTGTCCTCCAGGCATCCCCAGCTAAAGAAGTGATAACGTATTGCAAAAGGGGGGGGGGGAAAATAGTGTAATTTATTACTATAACTGCTAGGATTTGTGCGTTATTGGTGGCCAGACCGTGGGTTGCTCGCAGCCGGCCTGCTGTTCGCGTGGCCGGGCATGGCCCCAGCCTGGGAGTCCCGTGGGCCTTTGCTGATGGGCGCGCGGAGCGCGGTTAGCCCCTGCGCTCGTTAGGAGTCTGTTCTGCGGGGTGCTGAGGCTCTAAATAAGGCTCCTGCTTAGACTTCTCTATAGTAGGGGAGAGGAGGCACATGGGTCTCTAGAGGTCTGAAAGCTGCAGCTTTTGCAGGGAGGGGAGAAGGGTGTGCGGGACCAGCTGCAGCAGTTTGTTGGGAGCTCCGGACTGAACGTGGGAATCTTTCACTGATTTTGGACACTCGCTGCCTGTTTGGATGCAACGTGGTGACTTGAAATCTCCATCCCATCAGCTCCAAACTGCAGGACACTTTAGTTTTGAGATAGAACCTGGTTTTATCTATCTATCTATCTATCTATCTATTTATTTATTTATTTATTTTCATGTGTGTGTGTGGTGGTGTTTTGGAGGGGAAGAGAAAATGTGGTAAAGGGTCCATGCATGCAGGTTATGGCATCCCTATGCTTTCTTTTTATTGTTGCTGTTTTGTTCAAACATTTTGAAAGCTGGAAGTAACTCTGTCCAAAGTTATCTTTCTCTTTTCTGCCTGTCTTAAAATGGTGCTGGTGGGAGTATGGAGGTAGAGAGCATGGCAGTGCTCTGAGGTGGGGAGAAAGAAACCTGAATGTCTGCAGAGCACTTGCTGATGGATGCAGTGGGTGTTGAGGACATGGCGAACTTGGAAGTGGGGAAAGGAGGATATTTGCAGGAAGCATTTGAAATGGATGGGAATGGAAGGGTGAAAAATAGAGAGCTCTTGTGGGAGTAACTGAAAGAATGARGAGGTCTGTGATGTTGTCTTAGAAAAATATGAACATATGTGACTCTCCCSTCGTCCTCTTCCCTACGTGCCCTAAGCTGGAAAGGTCTTGAAGTGAATAACTCGCTGTTAATCAAAATAGGATGATTCTGTTATAAATGCCCAAAGTTGCAGTAGGATTTGAAAAACAGACAATTATTTGAGGGAGCAACATACCAATTTAGAGAGGGGGGGAATAATCATGCTGAATCTATCAGTGTACGGGATATGAGACTTTGTTATCTTTTCTAGGTCTTTTTTTTTTTTTTTTAACTATCTTTTTGAGACGGTAGAAAAAGCGCCAAGATGGGGCGGAGATCTACATCATCCACCAAGAGTGGGAAGTTCATGAATCCCACGGATCAGGCTCGTAAGTATCCATGAAAGTTAAATGGATATGAACATGGGGTCCTGAAACGACAAATTTAAAACAAACAAAGAAGTAAAGCKCCTATACCTCAGAATAGAAATTCTTATATGTGAACATGAACTGACTTCCCCACATTTCTGAAATACTATYTTTGGTTGGTATGAAAACTTCCCAAGAAAGCTGCTCTCTTGCATGCTATTGTTGCTGTGCAGTAGTTCTCGCTCACCTTTTATTTCTGTTATAAGTATTCTAAGGTCTCTTAGTTATCTGTCAGTTAAGCTACCAACTTCTTGTGTTATAGGTAATCTTCCTGAAGCTAGAATCCAGGGAATGTGTTGAATTTTGTAAATACTYTGATTGAATGAGGAAGTCTGTTTTGTTTTGTTTTAATTTTGACAGCATATCTAGCCTGTTATCAACACTGAGCAGATAGCAATGTCCAGACTGACATTGTGAATATGCTAATTATTTTAGATTATTTTCTAGTGTAATTAGGTCTAATAGACAATTATGACAAATATGTCATTAGACATATTTAGATGTCTWATTATTTTAGATATGTGTTCAAAATGTACTTTGGTTTTAAGTGCAGTTCACTATCTTGTTACAGACAGTTTCTGAGCAGCAGTCCTTTAATGACTGGAAATAACATTTTGACTTGTGGTCTTTAGTTYTTGTCTGTGTAGAAACAGACAAAGCGTGGAGATTTCCAATCTTTCTTTCTGTATAGCACTAATGAAATGCAGCTAGAAGTAAAAATTTCTCTCTTCAAGAAGATGAGAATAGAAAGTTATATTTGTGTAAAACAAGTCGACTATTGAGGAACAGTGGAGTAGTTTGGATGAGGGAGATGTTCTTCATGGATGTGCTTGTCTCTTGCAAGTTATTTTCTTTTCTTTTTTTACCCTCTCCAGGTAAGGAAGCTCGAAAGAGGGAACTAAAGAAGGTAAATAAAGTGATTAGGAACATTTATTTGACATSCCCTGTACCATGCATCATATTTGTAATGGCAATGGGCCATGACTGATGAGTAGCCTTCAGATATTTCTGTTGATTTTAAAAGATTCATTTTGGAAAATCCTGTCTAAACAAATACTTAAAGGAAATACAAATTTGGTTTTGAGTAACAATATTGCTTTAATCTGTATTTTAGCTTGAGATGATTAAGACTTTTCAAAGCATTGTTTTAAGTGCTTATAACTTCTTAAAAAAACTTATTATTTGACATGTTTTATTGTGCTCTTGATTAGTTGGTTTAATTTGCTGATGATGTACTTAATGGGAGTGAATGAATTATGGAATTTAAAAAGTGACATTAAAATTTAAAGTACTTTTGGTTGTACTATGGTTAGTATTTGCAAGGTATTTTGAAATGCGTTTTTCTTCAGGCTAGGATTATTGAGAGACAAATCTTTGATACAAAATCTTTGTCTCTTCTTTGTCTTTTTTCTCATTTTGATCCCTGATATTCTCAGAACAAAAAGCAAAGGATGATGGTACGAGCAGCTGTATTAAAGATGAAAGATCCAAAGCAGATTATAAGAGACATGGAAAAATTGGATGAGATGGGTGAGTGAGCAGTACTGGCTGTTGGACTTAAGTGGTTTGTTTGTTTTTGTACATGCAGAAGAATAATTTTAATGGACAGTTGAGAGACTAAAATAAGCAAACTAGCCATCTTTTTCCTATTAGAAATTCTGTGAAAGAGAGATTGTATGAATAAATACARAATTCATGATTTGAAGTGACTTCTTGTCTTTGAAGGCAACATTCTTGGAGAAAATGACTGCAGTAAAGACTGGGTAGGTTGTATGGCAGATTAAACTTGAAGTAAGGGGTTTTCTTTATAGCTTTTGTGAAAGTAGGAATGGGAGATTGATGAATGAAACAATTTTAAAACAATCACATTTGCAGTGTAGCTTCTCAATGTTTGTTTTAATTTTGCTGTCTTGTATTAGAGTTTAACCCAGTGCAGCAGCCACAACTTAATGAAAAAGTGTTAAAGGACAAGCGCAAAAAACTGCGAGAGACCTTCGAGCGCATCTTGCGCCTCTACGAGAAGGAGAACCCTGATATCTATAAAGAGCTGCGCAAGTTGGAAGTGGAATACGAGCAGAAGAGATCACAGCTCAGCCAGTATTTTGATGCTGTCAAGGTAATGCTGCTTAGGTGTGACAGTTATGAATGAAGGGACTTTAACTGTGAAAGTGCAGTAGGTTGTTCTGTGAATTTCATCTCAGTCTGAAGGAAATAATACTCCTCTTGCATTCGTTTGAAGAGCTCCTGAAATTTGTCCCTACCATACTGAGAACCTGAGGTTGACCAAATGCAAATATCTATATGTTTTTTTTTTTTCTTTGGAACATGCAGCAGCCTGTGGTTCATGCCTCTGGATAAACAAAAGATAACAAAGTTGTCTGCAGCATCTTTTCTTTGGGGACTCAAGTCTAAGGGAGAATGGAAACCTGACTGGGTTATGATATACTGAAGTTTTTCTTGGGTGTGCTGCGTGTGCTAGAGGATTTTTCTATTGATTTTTCTCCTCTTTATTTTATTGTGGAGTAGGGGAGTGGTGGTTATTTTTGCTGCAAAATAACATGTTATCAGAACAGGCACTTTTYGCAAGTGATGGTTTGTATGCTGTGGTGTAAAGAAGCTTCTGTGAGATTAACCCATTCTCTGTGTGTCTTCCTTTTCCTCTGTCTCCCCAGAATGCTCAGCATGTTGAAGTGGAAAGTATCCCCTTACCAGATATGCCTCATGCACCCTCCAACATCCTCATCCAAGACATTCCCCTTCCTGGGGCACAACCGCCTTCAATCCTCAAGAAGACATCAGCCTATGGGTAAGAGGAAAAACAGCCTGGGGAGAAAGTGAAAAGTAGCACTTGTGCTGCTGGAGAGAAGCTAGGTGTTAGTGGTAGAGGTAATAAATTCTGAGGGAATTAATTGTACTTTACTTGCTTTTGTCAAATCCCTTCTTAATCTTTGCTTAGTATTACTTTTTGTTGTCATTGTTGTTACTGTTATCAATTCATGAGGTTGTAAACAGCTTTATTTTTATCATATTTGTTTATAGATTGTTTCTGTAGAACCAGTGACTAGAGGAGGAGAAAAGAATTTCATTAATCTCACGTTTGYTTGCGGTCTGATTTTTGTTTGTTTTCTTTTTTATTTCCAGACCACCACTTCGGTCCATTTCTGTACTTCCACCTCCTGGCCTTGGTGTTCCACGTTTACCTCCTGGCAGGAAGCCCCCTGGCCCTCCTCCAGGGCCACCCCCACCCCAAGTCCTACAAATGTATGGGCGGAAGGTGGGCTTTGCCTTGGAGATGGCTCCTCGAAGACGAGAGGAGGATATTTCTTACAGTTCTGAAGGAGGTAAAAAAGACTTTCTTATCACTGTCTGTATTTTTCTTAGACTTCTCAGTTTTGCTACAGGTAAATGTAATGTACCTTAGCCAAGCTGTTTTTTGGGAAATAGGGATATTTATACCACCTGAGGAGAGTTTCCATCCTAAGTGGTTGTGCCAGTGAGGTGATTCTAATATGTTTAATAATGTAATATCTTCACATTTATTAGTGTCTATTTTAGATGCTGAAACTACTAATGAGAAATTTCAGATAGTTGTTTTCTTCATGGAATTGCCTAGGTTAAATATTCACTGTGTGTGTGTAAAAACACGTTTTTAAACCTTCTTGGAGAAGCTTTTTCTTTTTTTAACAGAATTGAAACAAACCTGAGYGTATACTTGTTAGGAGAACCTTGAGTGCCTTTCTCGTGCAGTTACTGTATAGTGTCTTGTAACTTTTTTCAATAAAATAAACATCTTTGCTAAAGTATTTCAAAAGGCAAGAAATTGCTGAATAAAAGGTTTTGGTGGGAGTTGTCTTCACAGAAATCAGCCAGCAGACTTAGGGGAATCGGAAACCTTATGAAKAGAATCCCCCAACTATTCCTTATTAACATATATTAAAGAATAAATGAATGACAAAAAGAATTCTATTAATATGAAGACTTTTTAATTGCAGATTTCTAAAACGCTCCTTCACACCTGTGTGTTTGGAATTTATGTATTTCCTAATACTTTGCTCTCTGCAGGACAGCGAGGGCATGATGATGATATCTCCAGTACTAGTGAAGATGAAGGCTACCCTGAGGATATGGAGCAAGATAAGCACGATGAGAGCAGTGATGACAGTGACAGTGACAGATCAGATGCAGACAGTGAAGCTGAGGATTTCCTGCATCGTGATAATGACAAAGAGCGGGAAGGTGGTGAAGAGAAGAAATCAGGTCTGATGGAAATTTTGTAGATTGGATTTTGATTTTTTCAAAAGAGAAATACTGTTCAACTTCTCTTGGATTTGGTTTATTGTCTTAAAGTGTGTCTGTGTGTGTATATATGTATATATCTGCATGCACACACACATTAATTCTGTTTTAGCTCTCCTAAACATCACTTGGAGAGCCTAAAGATTTTTTTAAGTGGATTTGCATGAAACTATCTAGATGTGAAATATCTAAGTGTGCCTCATACATTCCAGATTGAGCCATATTATTAACATTTAAGATATTAAGATCACAAATCATGTTTAGCATAAAACATTGAATTAGCACAGGACCCTATGGAAAATAAGCAGTTCTTTTTCATTTTGTAAAATAGTGTTAATATTTAGTGACTTGAACAACAYATTTTGAAGAGACTTTTGAAATTTCATATTACTAATACTTGTAGACATTTTTTCCTGATTTTTTTTTTGAGGAAATTCAACTGATAGAAAATTATAACATTAGTAGAGGCTAGTCTAGTCACATTTTTAAAAGTAAATAGTACCAGTGTTAACTCTTACATAGGAGCATCTGTACTTTAAAATGTTGTTTTTTCCACACGAGGTAGAAAACTTTAATGTACCTTTTTTTTCCTCCTCCTTTATGCCTTGCTTTACCCAGGTCATAGTGTACGGTTTGCAGACATGCCTGGGAAATCACGAAAAAAGAAAAAGAACATGAAAGAACTGACCCCACTCCAAGCCATGATGTTGCGAATGGCAGGTGAGTGATGCACATATGTCTTAAGTGGACCAGTATTTTGGTGGTCATAGGGAATTACTTACTCCATGTTCTCTTTTATGCTCCTTTATCACGTGGTTCAAGTTTGAGTTTGCTAGTAGAAGTTTCACCCCATGCAGGAAAGTGTAGCTCTAGGTGGCAGCACTACCTATAGCTCTGTCCTGCTTTTACTTTTTTTGTTTTGTAGTTAAGTGTTGTTGGCTTTATTCTTTTTTAAAGGGTTTTTTTTTCTTATTTTGTGTCCTTAAGTTTCTCTGCAGTATGCAAAAAAAAAAAAAAAAGGAGGAGTAGCTGAGAACTGATTTTATAAATATGACTCTTTTCAGGTCAGGAAATCCCAGAGGAAGGGAGAGAAGTGGAGGAATATTCAGAAGAGGAAGAGGAGGAGGAGGATGACTCAGAGTCTGAAGAGACGTCGCAGCAGCAGCAGCAGCAACAACACAGTGAGGAAGCTCTTGCAGAGACTGGGTCATCTACTGCAACCTCCCAGTCACAACAGCAATCTTCGTCACAGTCTGCTCAAAGTCAGATACAGGCACCTCCCATGCCTGGGCCTCCGCCTCTAGGGCCACCTCCAGCCCCTCCGCTGAGGCCCCCAGGTCCACCCACCGGCCTCCCCCCAGGCCCTCCACCAGGTGACACTTGATTTTTCTCCAATTTGAAGGTTGCAGGTATTCACTATCACAGGCAGGCTCTTAGTTGTGGGCTACAAAGCTGCAGAATGGGGATATGTTGTGGTTGTGATTGAGGAATGAGAACCCAGTGTGGCAATTGCTGAGACACGTGTAGTCTCTTGCATCTGTTATTGCTGCACTGAGGCTTTTGAGGCATCAGGCTAGTGTGGCTGTAGTGAGCCTGGTGATGGTAGCTCATTTCTAGTTAGCAGAGCCATTCCTGGACTATGAAGAAACGTGCTATTTTTCAAAAAAAAAAAAAAGTCAGCTAATGAAATAGCTGTTTGGAGTGATAAAGATGACTTGTTCCATTACATCTGGTGGGTTTCAATATGTCAGGATGCTACATGTTACTCTGAAGTATGTGGCTGTGATGTCAGAGCTGCACAGCACCCTTCAAGAAGGCAAGCTGTTAAGGCCACCTGACTAAACAAATAAGATTTTGAGGTTTAAGACAGTATCCCTAAAACATTCATCGAATGGAAAACTTCTGCCATTGGTACAACAACTAGTTTGACAAAGTGATTCATTTGCTCATGTGCCCGCGCACTGAAGTGGTCACCTCAGTTTTTAGTGTGKTTGGGAAGCAGCAGGAGCTGAAAGGGCCTAGCATCAGGTGTCTTAGGGGAGAGTATAGAACCTTTCCACATTTAGGGGAATGTACCTGATTGTTACCAAGAAACTTTTTCCTCACTTCAGACTGCTWTCTCTTCTTGAGGCTTTCAGATGTTTTTAATAGGATAGCTGACTAGTAATMGACACAGCTTTTAAGCTGATGTCCTGTGTTGAGTTCAGCATTGCCTGATGTGATGATTCTTTTGTCCATTCAAGAAGATTCTCTTTGCATTTTCTTCCAGGAGCTCCTCCCTTCCTGAGACCTCCCGGGTTACCGGGGCTGCGTGGGCCTTTACCTCGACTTCTGCCACCAGGCCCCCCACCTGGGCGACCCCCTGGCCCTCCCCCTGGGCCCCCACCAGGTCTGCCCCCAGGTCCTCCTCCGCGTGGGCCCCCTCCTCGCCTGCCTCCTCCGGCTCCACCAGGTGAGGTTTCCTGTTTGCCCTGGGGCAGGGTCTTTCCCTGCTCTGTTATCGTTGTACACTCAGACCCTTCGCTGTGGGAAAAACTAACACTCCTTTGGGCTTTAAATAGTGCCCTGTTGCTACTTGGTCTGTGTTCCTCTTCATATGACTAAAAATACTCCCTTAGAAAGTTCTTCTTGGTTGGTCCTTTGTATCTGTCTCTCTTCCTAAGTAAGTATACTGAGCAATATTGAATTGCTATTGTTTGCTAGCAAGAAATCTGACTTAAAAAAAAGGGGGGGAGGGGGGAGATTCAAAGTTCACAGTTCTGTTGGACTGAATGAATAACTCCATAGTGCAGTGATGATGGGGTATTCTGTGCAGCCTGATCAAATATGACTGATTCTGAAATTTCAGCCAAGTGACTTGCCAAGGCACTTTATTTTCCATGTAAACAGGATAATCTAGGTGGAAAAATAAGCAGGGATCTGTAGATTTCAAAGGATGAGGAACGACTTTTTCTTTCTTTCTTTCTTTGGGWATCAGTGGTTGGTGCAGGACTGAAAGCAGCTTCTGAAGCTGGTACAGTTGTATCTTGTTGATACTTCACTTTTTTTGAAGCTGTGCACTTTTCTGTCAAAGATTTTTGGGCTCCCAGTGTGGAGTTTGCTCCTTCTTTCTCTCTCTCTTGCAGGTATCCCCCCTCCTCGCCCAGGCATGTTACGGCCGCCTTTGGTGCCTCCGTTAGGACCTGCCCCACCTGGGCTTTTCCCACCCACTCCCATTCCCAATCCCGGAGTGTTGAGTGCCCCTCCCAGCCTGATCCAGCGCCCCAAGGYGGATGACACCAGCGCGGCCACCATTGAGAAGAAGGCCACGGCCACCATCAGCGCCAAGCCGCAGATCACCAACCCCAAGGCAGAAATCACCCGCTTTGTGCCTACGGCCCTGCGGGTGCGCCGGGAGAACAAAGGGGCCCTGGCCGCCTCCCAGAGGAAGCAGGARGACGAGCCCGCCCTGCCCTTAACCAAAGCAGCCCCCAAGGCCGGGTCGTCTGCCCCCATCTCTGTACAGACGAAGGATGACGTGTATGAAGCCTTCATGAAGGAAATGGAAGGTCTCCTGTGACCTCTCATAGTCCTCATCAGCTTTCCTGCTCTCCGAACACAGACTAGACTCCTGCAGAGGGAGGAGAAGAAAAGGCGCTCCTGTAAGCAGCGAGAACGCCTGCATGACAGGGAATAGATCCCTACCCACAGGTCAACTTGCCAGTAGTCTCTGAATCAAGACTGTGGTAGATCAGGGGGGACAGGACCTTGTTTCAGAGCTAGCATGTCTACTCAGTGGAAGGAAATGGCAGCCCAGAGGTGATGCTGCTTTCCTTGAGTTCCGCCCTTGGTGCGGGAGGTTGCGGTGCTCCGAGGAGGGGTGTAATGCTCTGCCTGGGAACTTTTCCCTTCATGAATGCTCTGGTGAGGGTAGTGGAGCAAACTTAAAAGGAGACGGAAAAATTAGCAGGATTTCATACACACACATGGTTGTCAAGTTTTTATTTTCTGTACTGTTTTTCTTTCTGTAAATATTTTATAATCTGGTCGCTTTTTTAGTTGCAGTGAGATTGATCTTTTTTTTTCCAGGGTAGTCAGGGAGGTAATTTGTTGCTTATACTGTACACTGGAATTTTGCACCCCGTCCCCTCTACAGTCATTTTGGTGGCTTTTAATGACGGGGAAATTTTCCTTTTGTCTGGTGAAAGACAATAAATGTTCAGTGTATCAAAATACCAGTTTCTTTGTGATCTGTGTAAGTCTAGCATATGGATGGAAAGGGAGGAAACTCTTCATAGACCTTGAGGAAGATGTAGGCCTTCTGACCCTCATGAAGAAGAGTAATAGCTACATTGAAATTAACTAAGACTATGTAGGTTATCCTTCTGTTAAAGTCTTTTATATCCTTGTTTCAACMGTTCCTGTTCGGTTCCCTTTTAGTGTTTGCTGGTGGATGGTAGAAATTTTAAGTCCTGAAATACTACACTTATTGTACAGTTTATAGCAAGCCTTGGATATCCACTAGATGTATCTTGGACTGATTAGATTTATCTTAGATAAAAATTGATAAACAATTTTGATTCTAGAATCTTGACAGATAATCAAACTCTGGAAGTTTTTGTTATAAAATCAGTAAATGCAAATTCTGTGCTCTTAGACTGCAGTTTGTTGGGATGTTTTTCTCTAAGGACTTTATTTTTTCTAGCTTCAAAAAACATTATTTTGCTTTTTTGGTTGAAATAAGCCTTTAACTTCATTCATTCTGCTGTCACTCGAATATATTACCATATACAAGAAAGAAAGAATTCTGGTCTATTTTGAAGAAGAATAAAACTTCTTGGGATGTAGACAAGTCAGCTTCAAGACCTGTGGGATTAAATGTGCTAGCAATAAATCTTCCTGAAATGAATTGCTGCTTCAGCAAGAACGGTATTTTTCAAAACACTTCAGTTTCGTCTGAAGCACTGTATTTAAGCACCAAAATAATAGTTAAATATTTATATAGAATTTTTTATCTTGCAGGTTTTGTAATGAAAAGAAGTATGGTTCATTAAAATTATGATTTAATATCAGTGTTCAGTTTGAAAATTAGTTCTCTTCATTGAAGTGCTTTAGTGAATGTCTTAAGTGGCTTAAAAATGTAAGCATGCATCAATTTCCAAATGAATATACCCAGAATGTGCAGTGGCTTTTTGTTAAAAAAAAAAAAAAAAAAAAAAAAGAAAAAGAAAAAGAAAATTTTTCCGATTGCAGTTCTGTAGTATTTTTTAAGTGTATAATCCTCTTTCTTTTGTTCATTTTAAACATATTTGTATTTTGTCATAATTAATGAGATGTGAAAAGGGGGACTTTGGGGAAGTGGGGGATTACGTTTTAGTCTATAGTACTCCTTCGCCTTGGGCTTAATAGGATTACTGACCCTCCTTTCCAGGAAATAGGTTCACAGGAACAGGAATAGTATTCTGAGAAAAGGACCTCTCCCTGTCATCCATAATGGCTTACTAGCTGCCATCTGATTAATAACTACGGAATTACTTGATTTTGATTGATTTCATTCATTCTTCCACTTTGGTCTGTGTTTTTTTTTTCCCCTTGTTAACCTTTTATGTGCCATTTGCCATATTCTTTAGGAGGCACTTCTTTTATGGAGAGACTRAGTGGTTACCCCTTCCCATCTTTTTCAGGACAGGGAAGTCTCCAGGGCTAGGATGCCTCCTGCTTCTTGTAGGGACTGGCCTCAKACAGGAGGCTTCTTGCATTCCCATCTAATGCCCAGGGTGCAGTTGTGCTCTTGTTTTCACAGAAAAATGGAAGTTTGGAAGTAGTTGTAAGACCAGCTGAGAGCATGAGTGTGGAAACATGCGGCTTGTGAAACTGAGGTTTCATCCTACTGCCTTGGTCTGCTTCTTTCGCTAAAACAGGAGCTTCCCCCTCACACCTCTGTGCCYTTTTTTTAATACGTTACTAAGCACAAAAAAAGCACTAAGCAAGAAACTCAATTTTTTCAGAGCAGGATGGATCTATGGTTGCCCTTGCTTCAGTCCTCCTATCACTTGTGTAATAAACGATTTCTTCACCAGCCACATAAAATGATGGGCCAGGGCAGGAACATCAAATCCAGGCATCTTCCTGGAGTTGCTGACAACCTTTYCAACCTTTCTTTCTCCAGCCTCAAAGCAGGCATAAAAGACCGCAAAACAATCTGACATCTAAACTGACACTCCCTGATTATCTAGATGAATGACTAAATCATCTAGATTCAAAACAAACAAACAAAAAAACCTGATAATCTCGATCAATGTTTTCCTTTATCCACATRTGTATCTGGGGGCTCTGGTAATTACTCTGCATGACTGGAGTTCTTCAGCAAGAGCAGGTGAACAACTTCTGCCTTGGCTCATCATTTGCTGAATTATATAAGGTTTTGAGCTTGTAGTTCTGTCAGAATACAGGAAACGCCTTTGTACTGCTCTGGGACCTGGAATCTTGAGACCAGGCAGGAAATGATTTAATAAGAAAGTGTGTGAAATACATATATATTTCTACTGTTAGTTTATTCATGGGGGAAGAGTGAATTTTCTAGTATTCAAACAGAAATATATATTTAAAAATAGAAAGCATTTTAAAACGGCTTTTMTCTGTGCTTCAACACAGCCTTTTGAAATTATGTATTTATATCATGATTGCACTTGTTATGGTTAGTCTCCTGTTATGCCATCTTCTCTGAGCTCCAGATAACTGTCAACAACAACAAAATAGCCGAGTTTGTTTGCTTTGTTTCACACTTACTCTTTGTCAACTGCATAAAGGGATATATATCTTAYGGATACAGCTGTGCCACTTTGTTAGTTGCCTGTGTCTTGTTTTTGTGGTGTGCTCGTACAGAGCTTTGGGATTCTTGTCCTGAATACTGCCTGGAATTTGTGGTGGCATCTTTCATCTGCGGCTCTCGCTGCTCGTTACAGGAGGAGTAATGAGCATGGTGGGGATAGACAGAGGCAGGCAGAGCAATGCAAGTTGCCTATGGTGTTTCCATTTTTGTCCAATGACTGATATAAAGAGGACTCTCAAAAGTTAGTTAATGCAGTATAGTCCATTGAACGGTGCTGCAGATGAAAGATGCTTCCTAAAGATTATTAGAATTTTCAGAACAGGGAGCTGATCTCCTGTTTGACCAGAAATAAACAACTTGTGTCAGTAACTGCCAGGGCTTTTGCTTTGTTCACGATCCTCTCGTTGAAATACCCTCAACAGTTTAGRTCAAAATTCCTATTATTGTAAGCTCTTTGAAAAGTCTTTTTTTTCTTCTTCTTTCCCAATAGCTACAGCTGAAGGCTGTGGCTAATTTCAGTATGTGAAGTCGTTCATTGGCTTAGAAAAGGATAATGTCTGTCCTTGCTGGAAATAGATCAAAGAAAGAAGGATGCTAGGGAACAGCAAAACCACCCAACGTAGAACAAAGGCAAAGGGAAAAAAAATGAACAAAAATCTCTTTGTTCAGGAAACAGCACCAGGGTAGAACAGGCATCCTGAATTGCATGCAGCAAAAGCACTGCTGCCTGTACTTCTAGTGCTTTGTTGAACAGCCTCGAAAATAGCAATTGTATGTGTATTAGCAAGCACAGAGTACTGTTTCAGTGGTTTTGTTTCCTGGATCACAATAAGCAAAGTCTAGTACATGTTTGTGTCCTGTATTGTTCACATTAAGTAGAATAACTTCCTTTTTGCTTTCTTTCCCTCTCTCCCTCTCTCTCCAGACCTATATGTACATATAGACCTTATATAWTATATATATATAATTATTATGTATTATTGCTGAAGCGTTAGGTCTAAGCAGTTGGTTGAGTCGTTTCGATGCAAACAGTTTTAGCAGAAGCTGCCTCGTCCCTCCCCCAAGATGGCGCCGGGGCCGTGGCGGCCGTTGGGATCCTCAGGGGGGAGGGATGGGGCGCCGTCACGAAGGRGGCAGCCCCGCTGCGCGCGCGGCCGGCGGGCGGGAAGAGGGCGCGCGGAGCAGGCGCGGTGGGAGCGGGGAGGAAACGGCAGCCGCCCGCTCCCCCATTGGGTGGATTTGGATCCGCAGCGCCATTGGACGCGCAGGGCGAGGGCGCAGCGCAGCCAATGGGGGAGCGCGCCGGGGCACGCGGGGACGCTATAAAAGGGGCCGGGCGGGGAGGGGCGCGACGCTGGTTTCACGTCGGCGTGAGGGGCGCTGCGTGTGACGGAGCGTAGGGCACTATGTCCGGCCGCGGGAAGCAGGGCGGGAAGGCGCGCGCCAAGGCCAAGTCGCGCTCGTCGCGGGCCGGGCTGCAGTTCCCCGTGGGCCGCGTGCACCGGCTGCTGCGCAAGGGCAACTACGCGGAGCGCGTGGGCGCCGGCGCGCCCGTSTACCTGGCGGCCGTGCTGGAGTACCTGACGGCCGAGATCCTGGAGCTGGCGGGCAACGCGGCGCGCGACAACAAGAAGACGCGCATCATCCCGCGCCACCTGCAGCTGGCCATCCGCAACGACGAGGAGCTYAACAAGCTGCTGGGCAAGGTGACGATCGCGCAGGGCGGCGTGCTGCCCAACATCCAGGCCGTGCTGCTGCCCAAGAAGACCGAGAGCCACAAGGCCAAGAGCAAGTAAAGAGGAGCAGAGGGAGCGTTTCCACGTCAAAAGCAACTCAAAGGCTCTTTTTAGAGCCACCCACCTTATCAAAAAAGGAGCTGTAGAACTAAAAAAAAAGGTTTCAGTGTTAGAAAATAGATGGTGTTTCTGATGTCTGACTTGTAAGTAATATCAGTGAGCTGTAAAAATTTCAAAACCGACAGAAAAATATATGTTAATCTTTGGKGAATACTAGTGCTTTTGAAAAAAAATTATTTTTTAAGTGTTAAAAGAATTTCTTAGTTCCAGTAAGAGTAAGAATGCAGTGGATATTGCCACAAGAGAGCACCATGTGTCCGGCCATCCTTTCAGTTTAGTCTTCTGGCAAAGTGAAAGGAATCATTAATAACGTTCAAAACAACTCGGCCCCCTCTAAAAGAAATTCCAAGTTACAGATTCTGACACTTTCCCTGATACCCTCGAGCTTTCAGAAGTATTAACTCAAAGCACTGAGTAAGCTGTATTAAAAGTGCTCATTCTCTGGAGTTTGCATAAACTTGAGAGTAACTTGTGGTGTTTTGACAGGCAGTTTAAAGTAAAAAGGACTGTTGGTGGTTTTGATTCAATGCTATATATGACACTGAAAAGAATAACAAAAATGCTAAAATAGGCAAAAAGATCGGTGGTTACAGGACACTAAGCACACTTCAATAATTCTTAAAACTGATCGTGAGATTGCCATACCACTAACACAGTAGCAAGGGGAAAAGAACAATTTTCATCTGGCCTTTATATTATATATATTTTTAAAAAACAGACAATAATAAAGTATCATAGAATAACATTTTAGCTATTTTAGTTGTCTGTCATATGAGAAAKGAGTTGCATTCAGTTTTAAAATGTTTAAAGGTGATCCTCATAAAGGGTATGAGAAGGCTTTTCCTCTCCCTAGCAGCGTGTTCATCTTAGAACAAAAGATACTCCACAGATAAACATGCTGCTTTCAATCTTACTTCTAATGTAGGAAACAATCACAGAACAATATAAATGCGATATTTAGCATTCCGCTGTAAAGAGAAAAGTGTAAATTATAACTTGAAAAAAAAAAGTTTTATGGTATAAATGCAAGGGAGGTCATTTACAGCAGTGTCTTCTTAGGTAAGGATGACTCAGATTTCCACCTATGGAACTGGATCAAAATAAAACCACTGCAGAAACAAAGTGTTAGAGTATTGATTAGAACCTGCAGTGAAATCGGTGTGAAATTCAGACATGACCTGATATGTTAAGATAATAGATGATTCTGTAAGACATCAATGGGTAACCAYGTCTCTATTGTGCACATGGAGCAACATAGTGCTAACTATTCGACTTTAAAAAGTCAGCTCCTTTTGGGATAAAAACAGTCCTTCACAGGTCGTTAATCTGCTTTCTGCCCTGTAACATAATGCACTAATTTAATTTATTTTAATTATTTTTAAAGGGATAAAGGATTTTGGACAAAGAAGCTAATTTCTAATCCATATTCAGTGCTCAAGATGAGCCTGTGTTACTTCCTTCTCTTTGAAATCAAATTGCAAATAAAATATCGGTTCAAAACCTTGTTTTTCAGTTCAGATCTAGAGAAGACCCTTTAAAGAACAATAATTAACTGGTCTGGAGATTTAGTTGTCCACGCCGCAGATTTTATTTAGAAGGAAAAACAAAAGTTTCTGTCTCTCGAGGTCTCTCCAGGTCCAGGACTCGGGGTTTATCGGCTCTTTTTTAACTCACCGTTCGCGTCTCCGGGGGGAAACTCCGCCGAGCGGAAAAGCAGCCTCCCCTTCCCCCGCCGCTGCGAGTTGGGGTGATTCCGTGGCAGGAATTCGGAGAAAAAGGCGCTTTTTCGGCTCCTAAGAAACACAAAATGAGCGGGGAGAAGGGAGCTCTCCGCCGTGCGGCGGGGCGGGCTCTGCAGGGCACCAATCAGCGCGCGCCTCGTCTCTATAAATACGAGGCCGCCGCGGCGCTCCAGGCCCAGTGTTTTTGCCTGGTTCGTGATCCGCCCGCAGCATGTCGGAGACCGCGCCTGTCGCCGCGCCCGCCGTGTCCGGCCCCAGCGCCAAGGCGGCCGCCAAGAAGCCCAAGAAGGCGGCGGGCGGCTCCAAAGCCCGCAAGCCCTCGGGCCCCAGCGTCACCGAGCTCATCACCAAGGCCGTGTCCGCCTCCAAGGAGCGCAAGGGGCTCTCGCTGGCCGCCCTCAAGAAGGCGCTGGCGGCCGGCGGCTACGACGTGGAGAAGAACAACAGCCGCATCAAGCTGGGGCTCAAGAGCCTCGTGAACAAGGGCACTCTCGTGCAGACCAAGGGCACCGGCGCCTCCGGCTCCTTCAAGCTGAACAAGAAGCCCGGCGAGACCAAAGAGAAGGCGACCAAGAAAAAGCCGGCGGCCAAGCCCAAGAAGGCGGCGGCCAAGAAGCCCGCGAGCGCCGCCAAGAAGCCCAAGAAGGCGGCGGCGGTGAAGAAGAGCCCCAAGAAAGCGAAGAAGCCGGCGGCCGCCGCGGCCAAGAAGGCGGCCAAGAGTCCCAAGAAGGCGGCCAAGGCTGGGCGCCCCAAGAAGGCAGCGAAGAGCCCGGCCAAGGCGAAAGCGGTGAAGCCCAAGGCTGCCAAGCCCAAGGCGACCAAGCCCAAAGCGGCCAAGGCGAAGAAGGCGGCGCCCAAAAAGAAGTAAAACGACTTACAAAAAAATTTGTAGTCGACTCATTTAAATAAACCCAAAGGCTCTTTTAAGAGCCACCCACTTATTCTGAAAAAGAGCTGAGACACTACGGTTAAAGCAGCAGATACAGGAGTTGAGAGCAGCATTTATGCAGGAAGGATTAAAAAAAGAAAAAAGTCATTCAGGCGGTTTGGACACAGCCTGCCCGCAAGATGCGAGTTTGCAGAAAGCGCCTGCTCGGGACCCGAGAATGAGGAGCCGCCGATCGCGGCTTCGCCCCCCGGCACCGGGCGGCGTCCGCCGGAGCGGGGAGGCGGGCGGCCCGARCCCCGCGCGCGGGGACCGCCCCGTCCCGCGGACACCGCAGGGGCGGGGGAGGGTTTAAAAAACGCGCGCTGAGCGCGGATTGGTCCATTCTGCCCGGCCCCGCCYCCTCTTACGCAGCGTTGCAGCCCCGGCCGTGGCGGCTCCCGGGATCCGGAGGGGTCGCCCCKCTCCCCCCAGCAGAAGGCGCSGTCCGGCAGCAGAGGCTGCCGCTCYGGCCTGTCCTGTGGCCGCGGCCTCTCACAACACGCTCCTCCCCCCTCCTCAATCTCCCCGGTTCACAACAGCACTGTGATGGGAGCAAAGCAGCACCAACAGATTCCGTGCACCGCCGTTTCAACTCGGAAAGACTTTCGTAACCACAATCTTCGTCCCTGTTCATGTTTTCGATAAAGGACACATTTTCTTTATTGAAAAAAAATACAAGGCGATGGGCGGATGGTTGGGGGGGGGGAAACCGCCTTGAAAGCCTTTGGAAGGCTTAAGTTAGGTAACTTCTGTAAGCATGTATTAAGGACAGAACTGATTTATTAGAAATATTTTCCCTCCGGGTGAGCGGTTTCAGTGTTCAGAAAACAAACCTTGATAGCAAGTGACAACTTCTGACTTAACTACAAAGAGGAACTTAAARAATACAGTTATCACAGGACCACCTATTTTCTTAAGACTACCTTCCACCGAAAGTCCTCCATATTTTGAAAAAGAAGGGCTAGCAAAAGCGAAAATCAAAAGTTGCTTTTATTCTCAACCACATTCAAGGCGAGAACCAGCACGATATCAAAGTGTAGTTGAATACTCCTAGTATCAAACGCTTTGTAACTAGTACAGAACTTRAAGCCCTGTAAAAGAACTAAAAAATTACATTGCTTAATTATTCGCATTGCTATATTTTAGTTACCTATKAACATAGAAGAATTTACATACCTTTCTTGAACAAAAAAGTAACAACAGCCCTTCTACGTGAAAAAATAGGTGGCTCTTAAAAGAGCCTTTGGGTTAAAAGAGACGCTGCGGGACGCTCTACTTGGAGCTSGTGTACTTGGTGACGGCCTTGGTGCCCTCCGACACRGCGTGCTTGGCCAGCTCGCCGGGCAGCAGCAGCCGCACGGCCGTCTGGATCTCCCGYGACGTGATGGTGGAGCGCTTGTTGTAGTGCGCCAGGCGCGACGCCTCGCCGGCGATGCGCTCGAAGATGTCGTTCACGAACGAGTTCATGATGCCCATGGCCTTGGACGAGATGCCCGTGTCGGGGTGCACCTGCTTCAGCACCTTGTACACGTAGATCGAGTAGCTCTCCTTGCGGCTCTTCTTGCGCTTCTTGTCGCCTTTCTTCTGCGTCTTGGTCACCGCCTTCTTGGAGCCCTTCTTGGGCGCGGGYGCTGACTTGGCCGGCTCAGGCATAGCGAAAACTCCTCGGTTGCGCTAGAACACCGGAGTGACCGTTGGTGCGATTGCTGTCCTATTTATAGGGGACTTATGCAAATCAAGAGCCTCCGCTCTTCGCGTTTCTATTCGCTAGAMGCTCCGGTGACGTCACGCTTCGCTCAAAGCGCTTTGCCATTGGTGCACTGAGAATTCCATGCTACTACTGGCTGGAAGTTACAGCCGTGGCAGCCAATCACAACGAAYTGTTTCAATCGCTGAAGGTTCGGGGGTAGAGTTTGCCTGGGGAATCTGAAGGGGCCTGAGGGGGCCTGTCCGCCAGGCTGCGCGCGCCCTCCCGGGTGTGAGGCCGTCTAGATAGCTATGGAGATATGCATGTACATGCACAGAGAGATTATTGCCGTTTTCTCCATATTGCTCTATATTCTTATTTATATTCTTCTTATTATAGATAYGCTTGCACATACATGCATATATACATGTATACACATATATAGACATATGTATGTATGTGCACTTTATATAATAGCATATATATAGCAGTCATGATCTAAATGTATAAGAGAAACATGTTGCCCCAAATATTATTCACCTTTTGCAATACTAATCATTATAGTCATATATATAATCATATAACACATTCATAGTGTTTGAAATAAGTTCTTCTGTCCCACATGTAAATGTCTTTCAGAATGTTAAATCTGGTAAAAATTTTGCTCTTATTTCTGATTCGGGAGAAGGGGTGTGTGCATTTTTTTTTTTTTTTTTTTTTTTGGAGAAAAGTACTGGAAGAATTTAAGTAGAAAGCAAAATATTCCTGGTAATGAAAACGTCCCTTCAAA